GAGCATACTTTCTCATGTCCTCTCCAGCCTGTTTCTTTGCATCAGTTCAGCAGTGGTGTTCTGCTGAAAATAAAACATGGTAAATCTGAGCAACAAACACCTTTAAGATACAGTATGATTTCCATTCGTTCTCCTCATTCTGGCACTTACTCCACCAAGGCACACATGCCCCCTGTAATTATACATGTTTCAAATACAAAAGAACTTTGACTAAGGATATTTTGTACATGGACAAGATGGTTATGCGTTTTATAAGGCTGTAAATCTTAAGTAAATACAAAATATTCCCTGAATTGGTCTGGCATGTTGTCTTGTATGTTTCAGCCTTCTTCCTCCAAGAAAGGCTCTAAGCAAGAAAGAGACTTTCACATCATTCGAGCCTTATACTTTGATGTACTATCAAAACCATTAAACTCTTTAGCAAATATTCAGGTTCCTTATAAAATATACAGTCATACTAGCTAGGAAATAAATTTGGCTTCAGGAAACACACATCTCATTGCTTAGAATCTTTGGCATTTACTGTCCTGGTCTTATCCCTGATAAAAATGTGAAAATTAGGTCCATTCAGATGTAAACCTCTAGGGGAAAAAAAAAAAACAAACAACCCACAACAAAAAATGCAACTACTGCTTTCACAGAAATAACCTTTTCTCTTTTTCCCTTCAAGAAAAATACAAGAGAAGTCAAGCCATTTTAATCCTCCTTTCTGCCACGCAACCTCTTTCTCCTAAATGTCTGGGGGTGCTGTGCCAAACAAGTCATTTTTATAAAGGTTATGAATAGGAAGCTCAGACCTGATGGACATGAAAAGTAGTTTATGTGAAACAGTTACTTCATTCTCGAGGAACTGCAAATTAATCTGTTTTTGTCTGGAGCAGCCCCAAGAGATTTATCTCAACCCATCTGAGGCCATATCAAGCTTAGAGACACCCTATCAGTAGTCAAAGGAGGGGAGACCAGGTTGCTGCAGCAACAGCATGACATACGTAAAACTCTATTTGATTATGTTGGTATCACAGAGAAAGCTGTTTAAAAGTTAGGTCAGGTTTTTTAGCTGTACTATACTTTTCCAGAGCCTGTCAGTCATTGTCAGATTGGCCAGTGACTCAAAATTCATGATGAATAGCTTGATTAACTTATGCATAACTTAATCTCATGTGTATAGCAATCTAGCCGTCCACATAAAATAATTTAGTAATAAGACATTACAGAGCTATTAAAGGAGCTAGTAATAAGCCACATAAGAATTCTTCCCTGCAATTTGGAGACAAATAAAATAATAATTTCTCATTAAAACATTTTCATGTTTTGATTTTGAATATTTTTCTTCATGCTAGAGTTCAAAAAAGCATAGGAAATTACTTACACTGAACAGAGAATCTTTGACAGCCATTAGAATGGGAAAAGAATGAGGCTACCAGAAGGACACGGAGCCACTGCTGTTTCCTTATGATTGTTCAAATTTATTTTGTATGATAAACAACGCTCATGATAAACAAAATTGCTTTCTTAATAGAATTCTGTGCCCCCAATTTATTCACTCATATTTAAAAATATTAAATGTAAAAGGCTATAGTCAAAGAATGCAGTAAATGAGGCAGAAATCCTGCAGAATAATGTACGTAGTTAAATAAGAGAAGATGGTATTTTTAAGTTGTTTGGTATTTCCCATCTTCTGGGATTTTACCTTATCATCTAATATGTTTTAATAAAAAACTTTTTTGTATAGTTTTCTTTCACTGTGGAAAAAACAACTTGAAAATGCAGGAGTGGAATGCTCCTTTGGTGCCTAATGGGACATTCTTCACTGATAGTGCAGGAGCTCTGTGATGCAGAGCAGGGACCTGTACCACCTTGCAGTAGATGTGGCTGTTCCATCTATGGGCCTTGCCCTAGAGAAGAATGAAGCATTTTTTCAGAGGTCTTTGGTGATGGGAAGCCAAGGGACTGGCTGGCCATGCACCACTGCAGTGAAGGGTTCTGGCTTGTACTGCTCTCGATACCAAAAGAGACAAGGGACAGTTCCTGCAGATTTAGGCAACACATGCATAGTGTAGACAGGTTAAGGTAGGCATTTATCTGCGCAATGAGATAAAATCACCACTGACTGTGTGTGTTTGTGCAGCACTGGGCCATCACATTTTAAGTTCTGCTTGAATATGTTCTCAGTGAAGTGAATATCAGAATGTTTGTAAGTCAGGAAAACAACAACAACAACAAACAAACGACAACAACAAAAAAAAAACCCACAAACCATTTGTTATTCACAGGAACAATTAAAACCTCCTGTATTCAGTCTGAAATAGATGCACATAGGGAAATGTCACTTCAGATGGCTAACATTAGACAGAACTATAAACAGCTAGAGACATGGGTGTGCAGTGGGCAGCAACAGGAGTCCTTTCACAGTGACAAAAGCTGCAAGGTCTTATTGGCAGTGCTCTTATTGGCAGTGCTTATAAAATAAGAGGTAGAGCTCTCCCACGGGAAAGCTATTTTGCCTTTGTTGGAAGTGAAGCATAAATAGCACCTAAGTGATCAGCCTGCATTAGCCATGTTGGTCTCATCTGGGTGGTCACAGTTTCCATCCATCATCTGGTTAAGGACTATGGAAACTTGAGGTACAGTAGGATGGTGGCTGCAGCAGTACTGACACACCTGTGGGAGTGCAGTCTGATTTGTCTAAAGCAGACCAGATTGGACAAGCCAGCACAGGCAGTGCCTTTCCTGGCATTTTACATTGTGAAATACTGCGATCTTTACTGCAACTTGCTGCTTCTTTCACTGGATTCTATCTGCTTAAATAGAACCTTTTAAGATCAGCATTTGTTCTTTGTTGAACAAATTTCCATTTGTTTGCCTGCTAATGGCCAAGTAGAGCAGAAAAGAGAAATGCAGGTTTTCCTGCCTCTTCATTTGGAAGCAGTCCAAGAAATGTCTTCCTTAGGACACACAGCATTCTTGTCTGTAGTACGCATCCCTAAGCCTGATAGCAGAGATCTAGGCAGTGGGAGCTTGCTGCAAAGAAAGGCTTAGTATTCAGTGTGAACAAGCCAGCATGTAGGGGAACTTTGATGAGAGATTGCTTGGTCTGGGTCCGTGCTGAACTTCACTGTGATTTATTTGCTATCCTGTGATCTACCACTAAGATGTCACAGTTGTGATGTAAGAATGATTTCAGTGCTCACTCGCAGCTTGCTGCCATATGCAGAGCCCCATGGAGCAGAGTGGAACCAATCAAACACAAAATTCACCATGCATGTGACTGAAGATGTCAACAAAGCTGTAGGAGTCTGTGGTTGTAAGGTAGCCAAATGTCAATGGAATTCAAGGCAAGTGAATTTCTTGTTTGTTTGGGAACTTTATGCTTCCCAGCCATGCCTCCTCCATTTCTGCTTCTCCATTGAGCATGAAGATACTCACCTCACTCTGACCATGTGCTCCAGTGTAAGGTTCGATCCTGCCACCAAGGCCACTTTCAGAATTTTGATGTAAAATGATGTCTTTTTCTCACTATCTCTGTTCAAACAACTTGTACACAGAAAGCCTTTTATTCTTCCAAAGCTTCTTGATTTTAACTATGCCAAACCATCCCAAAAACTTATCAGCAGCACACTGCAGCTGGAGTCTAGTATGACTTGATGCTTTTCTGACTGTAACTATCTAGAAAATTTTCATTTCACGTCCAAATTGTTTACTTATCTGCTACAAACATATGTTAAGAGAAGTTGAGGCTCTGTTGCCCAAGGTGCATTTTAATACAGGAAAAGAACTGCTTCAGATATTCCACATTACATCGTCTAGCTATATCTGGTGCTGTAAATTATAAAGCTGCTCCATTGAACTGAATGAAAATTAAATTTTTGAACACTGTTTCTGAAGAATGTAGATTTTTCTCTTTGAAATGAAGAATCTGTCCTGCATCAGTGTGGCTCACTGCACGCATTACTGCCCAGGCTTTCTGTTTTTTAGCCTGGGTGCCAAACTGCTCCCTGGGGACTGTGTCCTGTCATTGATCCATGTACTGACATTAAAATGCATCTGCTGATGGAGTGAGTCTGGGTTATGCCCTAAGCAGCAAGTGGTCTGGGAAACTGTAATCCATGTGCTGTCATCTTGAAATCAGATCTGTCAGGAAGGAAAATAAGCAAGAGACATCTATCTTCTCATCTGCATAAACCTTCTGTAGATGCCCAGATCACGTAAAATACACAGATGTGTTTTAAAAAATCAGCTCTCTACAGCTTCCAAATGAAGTACTTTTGTGCTGTTGTTTTACCTCGTTCCTCTACCAGGCTGAATTCCTAGCTTCCAGCCCTCTTCTCTTAGCTCTCCAGATGTGAGGAAGTTTCATCTGCTTTTTCTTCCTTCTGTGAATAACAGTGGCCCCTGGGTGGAAGAGGAGTGGGTGCCTCTTTTAAAGCAACACAGTACCAACAGAATCCAGTGTGAAAATCAGTTGTTCTGTTGCCTCTGTATAAAAGGATGAATTTAGACCTTTTTCCTCTTACAAATTATCTCACATGCATGCACACAAATCCAGACATTGCAGCTGTCCCAAACAGCATTTGGAGGAGCATTAGCATCTCCCTTCAAAATGTCTTAAAAAAAAAGTAGTGGAGGTCCATTTACATGTCATGCCCTCCATCACTTTGGGTGGTCAGCATAGTCTCAGCCTTTCTAGGATGTCTGCAATTAGAGTTAGAGACAGAAAAGGAAAGTGTTTTCTACTAATTAGATAGCCATATGCTTTATGCCCTCTGGATCTTAGCTTTACATGGGGTGTTTCTGTATGTAAGAAGATCACTTCTTCTGTGTTAATCAGGATGTTTCTTAGCATACTTTATATATGCCTATTCAAAGAAAGGTAAGGAAGATGGTGAAGAGACTGGACCACAAGTCTTATGAAGAGGTGGTTAGATGGATGTCAGCCTCTTCCCAGGCAATGCTGATAGGATGAGAGGGAATGGACTCAGATTGTGCCAAGGGATGCTCAGGTTCGATATTAGGAACAATTTCTTCTCAGCAAGAGCAGTGCTGCAGTGGCACAGGCTGCCCAGGGAGGTGGTGCAGTCACCGTCCCTGAGGTGTTCAGGAGCCGTGTGGATGTGGCACTGAGGGACGTGGGCAGTGGGCGTGGGGGGGTGGGCTGGTGGTTGCACTGGGGGATCTTAGAGGCCTTTTCCAATCTTAACGATTCTGTGGCTCTATAACCAAAAGTTAGCCCAGGTTTCTGTAATGTGTGGAAATGCTTTACACAGCAAGATAATGAGAAATAGTGATGAGAAAAAAATATAATTGTTCTTTATAAATCTGGAATAATTAATACATCAACTTTTGTTCTAAGATCACTCATGAAGTAAATTTCTGCAAGTCTATAAGCACCCGTAATTGTGGAGAGGTCCCACCTATTTTTGCTTTTCACAAAGGTAATTCCAAGAATCCAATGTATGATTCTTTATTCTGAATATTTCTGAAAGTGCTAAATTCTTGTTATGCAGTGTCAGTACACCAGTGAATCTCGTTTCTGGGCATCTGTACTTTCCCTCTTTGAGAAATTTCAGTAGTCAGTTTTGATCTGTTTTCTGGGTTATGTAGTGTTTTATAAGTATCTTGTGCAAGAAAATAAAAACTTTAGAAATAATGCATATGACTTATGGAAACTGATCCCGGAAACATCTTTACTGAAAACATGGCTTTAATGATGTATTGGGTGTGGCTGCCCAATTGGTGTCAGGGTGCTGTGGAATGATTATCTGAAGCAAGATCAGAGTTGCTCTATGTTCCAATGGCCTCACTGCAGGACAGAGCCCGTGGAGACCACCATGGAACAGATATCCACTCTGCAGCCTATGGAGGATTCCATGCCAGAGGAGGTGGATGTGCCCTGAAGGAAGCTGTTGCTTTTGGAGAACACATGCTGGAACTGGAGAGTATAAGATGGAGGAAGGAGCCTCAGGGAGGAGACATTATGAACTGACCACAGATTCCCTAATGCCTTTTGGGGAGGAGGTAAAAGAGATGGGGATGAAAGAATGAAGTTGAGCGTGGAAGAATGGATAAGTTGATGGAAAGATGTCTGCTTTTCTCAGTCTACATCAATTTTAATTGGCAGTAAGTTAAATGACTCTTTTCCAAGTTGAGTCTGTTTTGACTTGATGGTAACTGGCAAGTGATATCTGCATCTTTATCTTGAGCTATGAGCTCTTCTCTGTTTACTTTTCCCCCTGTTCTGTTGAGGATGGGGAGTGACAGAGAGGCTCAGCAGGTGGCTTGCAATTGGCCAAGGTCAACGTGTCGTGACTAGTGCTGTACTGTGACATATATATTGGAATAACTCATTATTAGCAACATCTAAAAAGAGTGGTGTGAAGCTGTTTCTCTGCAGTGGCTTGTAACTGTCATTGAAATTTCTCAGGTGAGAGCTTGAGCTGCCTGTTGGTACCAGTTCACTATGCATTTGCACAATGAGAACTGGGATCTTAAAATAATTTGAATAAGTTAGTTTAGAAGATGCAGAATCATCATTGCTGGGAAGCACTAACTGTTTCTTGAATTCCTGGCTTTCCTATTTGTAGCTCAGCAATATCAAGAGTGTGTTTCACTGAAGTTCTTAGAGTTACGCAATTTATGATATTTTCTAATTAAGTAACATAAATGCATATTTTTATTTATAAAAGTTCTTCACTGTTTCATTCCAATTACACAGGAAAAATCTGAATGTAATGTAGTTACTGCTGATGCCAAATTTTTACTTTTTTATGTCTTTTTATCACTTCTGAATTAATACGTATTACAAAATTAACAAGTATCAAAGAAGCATTTTATGGGGAGAGGCAGAGCTCAGTGCTGCTCCTCTGCTCCCTGAGAGGAGCTGCAGGCCACCAGGAGACCTCCTCTCAGCCTCCTGTTTTTTGAGCTGGGCAGACTTAGTGACCAAGGAATAGGGCATTGCCTTCATCAAAGAGTCAAAACTCAATAATTCTTCCACAGTCATTGATTTATTATAAACTTCACAGGCAACAAGTAAAGCCCAATAAGTGCAAATATAGCTTCTCCAGGAAGTTTGATTTGACATGGGCTTTAAACTGCCTATCTTCAGCAGATAAAACATCAAAACTTCTTTGAAAGCCAAGCCCTTGCTCTTATCTACAAGTCCTTACAGAAAACCTTTGAGAATAAGGTACAAAATCATCTCTTCTGATCCTCTGTCCTTTAAGTGTCAGATCACTTGGTCTCAGAAAGAAATATGACCCAGAAGCTATTTTAGCTATGTTTCTCCCGAAGTCAATGAAGCTGCGCTAGTTTATACTGATGAGGTTCTGGCAAATGTATTATTCTGACAGAATAACAGTTGGACAATTTACTGTGGTTCATCCAAATTGCAGATTAGTTCAGAATTTCATTACTTTGAGGTAATCAATGGAAACAGTTCTCCTCCTACTTCCCTCTTCTCCAGTTGCTGATTTTGACGAGATCCTCCTCTCCTGCAAAGGTTTCATTCTCTGTCCTGCTTTTTCTGACCATGGCGAAGGCATAGAAAGATGCCAAAAAATCACTAGCTTATAGTAAGACCAGATGTTATCAGGCAGGTGTAAATTATTCCAGCCACTGATGGTATGTTAATGGACTTGAATAAGAGGAGAGCTGGAATGTCTTCTACCCATTGCTTCTAGAAATAGCATAATTATTTATGTATGATTATGTAGCACTGTAGCACAGAAAATACTAAAAACATAAACCTCTATGTAGAAGAATGTCTTGTTAGAATGAACCTTTACTTTGTGCAGCTTAGCACAAATCTTTTGATTCAGGACACGAATATATCAAATAAGGTCAAGTATGATAAAATTTTGGTGTCACACTAAATTCATGGTAAAGCTAATATTGTTACAGTCCTGTTGTGACTGACATAAACCTGTCACGTTTTCAACAGGGTGATTCATGAAAGATACAGAAGAATCAATGGAGATAAAAATAGGTAATGCAATAACAGCATCCATTTTACTTGTGTTATACTGAGTAACCTGATTAAAAGGGTCACATTTAAATGTAGGCTGGCAAAACTGTTTATAAGAACAACAGTCACAGAGAAGGATTCCAATCTGATTAGCTTTGCAGGTAAGCCATGGGGTAATAATATATTAGTCTCCACAGGACACATAATCCCTGTTGTGTCACTGAGATCTCTGTATGAATGAGGGGCAACATGCAATCCTCACCATTTGTGAAACTTCTCTCAACTAGGGAACTGCAGTCAACCTGGCAGATTTCTATGTGATGAGTGCCAAAGTCAAATGAAAAGACCCTGAATGGTATGCTGCAAAGTTAAAGATTTCCTCTATATTCACCTGTAGGATCTTACAGGGGTTTCTGTGTCCTCTGTGGACTATGATTCTGTCCAAGAATTTCAAGGTGAAAAAAGGTCATTCTGTCACCTATAGCTACTAAAAATTGTGTGTTCTATATTTTGGGATGGATTAGCTGCTGCCATTCCTCTTGACATACCTGATGGACTCTGGAATGTGCTGCTCAAGGAAAGGAAAGATAAAATGAACATATATGTATAAAATACAAGATTACAACATAATCATCATTTTTCTTTTTTTTTTTTCTTTTTTTCTTTTTTCCCCACACATCTCAAAATGCACAGTAGTATTTCAAGTGTGATCCATTACAAATTTGAAGAGGTCCCTGACCTCTAAAGAGCCATATGAATTTACATCATCCAAGGATTTACACCTGTTCAGTTTGTACTGTGTACAATGAATTGTCTGTGTATACATACATGTACAACACAAATGTATACAGTGAAACATAACTGCTAGATCCTTTTTGCTGCACAGTGATGCTGCAGTTATTCTGAGACACTCTAATGTCTATATTGCAAGGGCAGGAAAAATGGAAGGAAGGAAGAAAAGAAGGAAGGAAAGAAGGAAAGAGCAAAAAAGAGAAAGGAAAGACAAAGCAAGAAAAACAAAAGAAAGGAAGAGGAAGTAAAGTTCTTGCTGAAGAGCTTATCTGTCGAAACCAAAGCTTATATTTTTCTTCTCCCCATTCCATAATTAATGTTACCTTGGTTGCCTTTCTTTTTCTTTCTCAAGAATCTCCCCACAGCAACTCCTGTAATTCTCTTCCTTCTCCAAAGTCCTGATGCCTAGCCCCAATAGGCCTTCCAAGAGGCAGTAGTGCTGTTTCCAGTAGACACACAGTTATCAGAAGACCAAAACTGTAGTTATCTTTTGAGTTTTACCCTTGCTGTTGCCACTCACTGCAGTCCTCACACTGTTTGTTACAAAATTTTTAGGATAAATTAGTTTTTGTGTAACTTTGAGTGCTCAATATATTGTATGTAACACTCAGCTAAGATTGGCCGGTGGTTTAATTATTGGTGCTAGTAAGACTGAGACAGATGAGCAGATAACATGACTTTGCAAAACTTATTTCCTTAGGCAATCTGGCTGTAAAACAGACTCAAATCTTTTGGCTTAAGAAATCAGATGTGTCTGTTACCCACAAAATAGATTATAGCTGAGATAGCCAAAATACAGGCTTCCCCACTCTGCACTCTGTAGAGGTGTATAATCAAAACTAAATTGATGCTGCTGTTGCAGCAAAACCTATGCTTTTGCAAAAGATAACATTAGGGAAAATTTGTTTTTCTTAAGGGACAAGAGTGGATTAAGATATTATGTTAGCTCCTTTCAAGCCAGCAGTATCTTCCCTTCCTCCCTAGCTTGGGAGACTGCAATCAGAATGCAGGCAGACATCAAAGGGAAAAACTTTGATAGCAATTTCTGGAATATTAGGCCCATCAGTGTAGCTCTGCTTCCTCTTCGTTACAGGGAAACGTTTCAAGAAATCAAGCAGCACAGGAAGTTCAGAAGTACACTGATGTTTATTATTAAAAAATGCAATCTGCATCCTTCACACGTGAAAATTTACTGTGCTCAGTTATGCTATGGATGATAAATAAAGCACAAATTCAAAGAGAGAATTTGTCATTTTACTGAAAAAGTCCTCTATGGTGCAGAATATTAACAGGTATCATCATAAAAATTTATGCATGAATCAGGAGGGAGAAAAAAGGGCCTCATAAAGATAGCCTCCCTTGTCACTGAG